ATTTTAGGGGGAAACGTAATGAATTCTGTTTTGGACACATTGAGTTTCAGATGTTTACTGAACTTCCAGTTCAAGATGTGTAAAAGGCAGTTGGAGATGTGAGATTAGAGGTCAAGAGAGAGACTGGGGAAGGAAAGGTAGATCTGAAAATCATCAGCATAGTGATGGTAATTATATCTATGGGAGCTGATGAGCTCTCCAAGTGAAGTAGTATGAAAGGAGAAGAGAGTTCTGATTCTTCTTTCACAATGTGACTAATGTGGAAATATGTTTAATATGATTGTACATGCATAGCCTATATTAGATTGCATGCCATCTTGGGGAGAGGGTAGGAGAGGAAGGGGGGGAAATTCTGAACTCAAAATCTTGTAAAAGTGAATGTTGAAAACTAAAAATAAATAAATTTTTTAAAAAGCCCTCTATATGGTCAGAATGAGGAACTCAATTTAGATAACTTTAAATGAATTTATTTTCTCTAGGTAGGGACCAGAGTTTAGAATGACACACTACGTATCAGTGATCAATTACTATAGTATAGTACCCTACTAACTCCTGCAAAATCCTAGATTTGAATTTTAGCCTGGATGCCATTGAAGATTATAACTTCTGTGAGGGGAAGGACTGTTTTAGTTTTACCTTTGAATTCCCAGGTCTTAGCACAAGGTGCCTGGCATATTATAGATGCTCAATTGTTGAAATGAGTTAGTTTTTTTGGTTCTCACTTGTTGAATTAGCAAAACAAGGTTGTTGAACAAAATTGAACCCAATTCTCCAAAAAAGAAAAAAGAAGAGAAGAGGGCTCAGGATAGAACTGTGAGGAACACCAGTGGTTACAAGGTGTGATCTAGAGGAGGATCCAGCAAAGGAGACGGAGGAGTGGTCAGATAGGTAGGAGGAGAACCAGGAGAGCATAGTGTCTCAAAATCCTAGTGAGAAGACTGTATCAAGGAGAAGAGAGTGATCAATAGGGTCAAATGGGAATGAAGATTGAGAAAAACCATTGTATTTGGCAACTTAGAGATCATTGGTAACTTTGGAGAGAGCAGTTTTGGTGGAATGGTAAGGTGAGAAGCCAGAATGATGGATAACCCAGCCATAACAAAGATATATAGACAATTCCCAGTATGTTAGATGGACCTACTGTGAAGGCTTTATGGGAAAATTCCACAGAATGAAAATGGATGGATGAATTGAGATCTGTCCTTTTGGAGGGGATACTTGCATGGATGAGATAACAGATCCATCCATCCCTGAGAAGGGTAACTGGGGTTGACTCGGGGAGCAGAGGAAAAGGATATGCCTTTGAGCATTATGGAAAGAAAAGGGGCAAAGCCAGGACTAAAGTTGATCATTGGATTTTGTGGGTCCTCAGTTAGCCTTTCAAAACCTACAGCCATATCAAAGCCAACAGTGGATGGAACTTCTTTAGACCTGACTGTACTGTACTGTATTCCTCAGACTCTACTTTCTAAATGTACACTTCTGCTATTCTTTCTTAATGTCACACTTGGAAACTACTGTCTTCTTTCCTTTAGTCTATTTTCCCCATGGTTCTATCTTCAGTCCTGTTTCTTCTAATTGGGCAAAATTGATATCCTTTCATTTTTAACAAAAAGAATAATCAAGGTAGTGAAGGAGAAGAACATGAAGTTTACTCTTCCTCAAGGGTATTGGGAATGTATGAGAAGACATTGACCTTTAAAATAAAACGAATCAGGGAGTAGAAAGTGACTGAGTTTGTGGAGGACACGAGAGAAAAATAGTTGCTCAACTAATACGAAACTGTAGATGAATTGTGACCAGTAAAAACTTTAAGATAAACTCACAAAAATCAACAACATTTCTACGTAACAATAACATAATCCAGCAGGAAACATTAGGAAGGGTAGTCTCATTCAAAATAACTACAAAATGCATAAAGTATCTAGGAATCGATCTACCAAGACACACTTTAAACTTATATAGCTATAATTACAAAACTCTCTTTAGAGAAATAAAGAATGACTTAAATATCTAGGGAGAAAACTTGGTGCTCATGGATGAGTTGTATCAATATAATATAAAGAAGATGATGTTTCCTAAGATAATTTACAAATTTAGAGCTATACCATTCAAACTACCAAAGGAATATTTTCCAGATCTAGGCAAAATAATAATAAAATCTATTTAGAGGAACAACACAGCTAGAATATAAAGGGAAATATTAAGGAAGGAGTAGAAATGAAGGGGGAATAGCAGTTGCAGACCTAAAACTATTAGTAAAAAATATTTTCTATTGGTTAAAACATAGAAAAAAGAACATCTTAGAAAAATCAAGAATCAGAAAAAATTGAAAGCAAGAACCTAGTGTTTGAGAAACCTAAAGATATAAATTACTTAGAAAAGAACTCCCTATGTCATAAGAACTACAGGGAAAACTGGAAAGCAGTCTGGCAGAATTTAGGCTTAGACTTATTAGGCCTTGTACCATATTCTACAATAAATTCAAAATGGATACACAATCTGAATATTAAAGACCATAACATAAAAAATTAGAAGTGAAATAATCATTTATATTGTATAAACTGTGTTGAATAATTCTTTACCAATAGGAATAGAGGCAATTTTGATTGCATGAAATTTAAAAAGTTTTTGCTCAAACAAAATTAATTCTTGTATGATAAGAAGGGAAATAGTTGACTGGGGGAAATCTTGGTATCAGATTTCTCAGACAATGGAATGGTATCTAAAATATAGGGGCATGTAGATGGCATAGTGGCTGGGCCTCGAGTCAGGGGGACTTGAGGTCAAATCCAGCCTTAGACACTTACTAACTGTGTGAACCTGGGCAAGTCACTTAACTTGCCTCAGTTTCCTTGTCTGTAAAATATGCTGGAGAAGGAAATAGCAAACCAGTCCAGTATCTTTGCCAGGAAAACCACAAATGGGGTTATGAAGAATCAGATACAACTGAAAAACAACTAAACAAAACTATCCGAAATATAGGCAACCAATAAAAATATATAAAACCAAAAGCCTTTCCATAGTTATCTATATGATATGAAGTTAGCAAAAGAACTGCAAACTATTAATAACCATATAAAAGAATGCTTCAAATCACTAATAGTAAAAAAAATACAAGTCAAAATAAGCTTGAAGCTTTACCTCGCACTCTGCAAATTGATAAAGGTGGGAATAGTCAATGTTGGAAGAACTGTAGAAAGACATTAATGTATTGTTGGTGAAGCTGTGTGTATACTCATTCTGGAACGCAAATTGGAATTATGCAAATAAAGTGACTAGGATGTCCATACCCTTTGCCCCAGAGAGTCCACTGCTAGGCAGTGCCCCAGGGAGGTCAGTGATTAAGAAAAAAAAGGCTCCAAAGACACTAAAATGTTTTTAGTAGAGCATTGTGGTTGCAAAGAACTAGAAACAAAGTAGATGCTCATTAACTGGAATGGCTAAACAAATTGAATATGAATGTAATGTGATATTACTGTGCTATAAAAAATGACAAATATAGTGAAGAGAAAGAAGCATGATAACACTTGCGTGAACTTCAGAACTTTGGACTTACTGTAAAAGTAAAGTAAGCAAGGTGGTCATTGGGAATCTAGATGGCCAGTGGGTATGTGCAGTGCCTGGAGTCAGGAAGCTGGTTTTGCTAAAATTTTCTCCTATTCTTTTTTTTTTTAATTCCTTGTTATAAGGGCTGGTTCTCTGGGAGAGAAGGAGGAAAGATTTCAGGGGGAAATTCTATGATGTAAAAGATATCAATAAGTTGGTGTTTCTTAAAAAAAACTTTAAAACTTATCTCCTATTATTTTTCTTTTTTAAAAAATTCTTTGTTATATGGGCTGGTTCTCTGGGAGAGAAGGAGGAAAGGTTTCAGGGGGAAAATCGATGATGTAAAAGATATCAATAAGTTGCTGTTTCTTACAAAAAAACTTTAAAAAGTTTTTTTTAAAGACTTGGGGGGAGAGGGAGGGGGAAAAAGAACAAAGTAAAAAGTGCACAGCAAAAAACAAAAGAAAACTTACAAGGAAGCAAAGAAAATGTGTAGTATTTATTATATAGTATATATAGTGTCATATTGTATATATAGTATATTTATTATATAGTATATATTATATATTTTCCATTTCTTGAAATGGAACTTTATTGCTGTACATTTTGAATCTTCTCTTATGTTCTGCTATGCACGTGACATACTTTTTTTCCTTTTCTTATTTTATATTTAAGTTTGAGTATTTAAGTTTATAATATGTTTTTTCTTTTCTTTATTGTGTATTGAAGTTTTAGTATTTGAGTCTAAAATTTTTTTTTTAATGGAAAAAACATAAAGACTTCACAACTCTGAAAAGCCTAGTAGTGATATACAGAATACTGATGGTGAAGCATGCATCCCATTCCTTGGCCAGAGAAATGATGGACTCAGATGCAGAATTGGACATACATTTCCAGACATGGCCAATATGTTTATTTGTTTTATTTGCATATATTTATTTGGTGCAAAGGAAGGTTTGTGTGCCTGTCTGTCTTTATTCGTGTCTGTGTCAGTGTCTATGTGTGTTTGGATCATTGAGGAATGACAATGAAGTAAAATAAAGTGTATCAATAAAACTTTTTTTTTTAAAGAAAGCAACAGCATTTGCCCTCAAGGTTACAATCTGAAAAATTATGATGATGCAAAACCTCATGGAAATCAAATTATGTCTTTATTTGTCCACTGTATGAAAGTGCCAACTCAGGGAAATTTGAATTTCTAAAAGGTAGGCCAAAAATACATCAGTCCCAGACCTGATCCTGAAATCACATTAACTGCATCTGAATTTGACCTGAAATTCAGAGCAGTCTTATGCATTGCATTACTAGAGGTAGTTGATATTCAAATGCTACTCTTGAATAAAGAACATAACTGATTTGCAAAGTAGATGATACTGGCTAGTCTGTGTTTTTATAATCAACAGAGACAGAGTTGTTTTTTTTTAAAGTAATATTTCCACCTTTTCTTTCAGGCACATGTATTACCATTTCGAAAACCTGTTTCCACAGTTGATTAAGAAACCTGGTGTCTTTGAAAAAGTGAAGGACTTCCTAGTGTATGTATAAGTGTTTACTTTTCTGATTTAAATTTTGATAATTCAGGAGCTGAACCTTTAATAAAAAAAGTTTTTCCTTGTACCCATACCCTTTCACTTCTCTCTAATTCAATTTTATTTTCAGCTCCAAATTCCCTCTCCCTGTCTCCCACCCACTGAGACAAGAAAAAGAAAAACCATTACAAATCTTTCCCCTCTCTCTAGCTGACCTCTGTAGTTGTTTTTATGTCTTGAGGATTCAGAGAAAGGATAAACTAAAATCCCATGAACTAAAAGTCTATGGAGAAATTTGGTATGGTCAGGCAGCTCTCTATCATAAAATTCTTAAGATAGGAACAGAAATAATTTCAGAGAAGAAGAAGAAGAGAGAGAGAGGGAGAGAGAGAGAGGGAAGGAGAGAGAAAGAGAGAGAGAGAGAGAGAGGGAGGGAGGGATGGAGGGAGAGCTAGAGGGAGAGAGAGAGAGGGAGGGTAAGGAGAGATGTATATAGAAGAGGACAACCCAAGGAAATAGTCTGTCAGGAGAATTAAAACTCATACTGAGCTGAGCCTAAAGACAACAAAATGTTATTGCTGGAAGTAAGAGGAAGATCAAAGAAAGGAGGGTTAGGACCATTGCTCAGAGTAAATGATAGGTTAATAACAGATAATGACAGAATCAAATTCTTAGAGTTTTTTGCTTCAAGGTAATAGAGGAGATAGTAACAGTGGATGCCCTCAGTTGATTCCAAGATACCAGCTGAAAGAACTAGTAAAATATGTGATCTTTGGAAATTCACAAAGAATAGGACAGGGGAAGGCCTTGGAATGGGTAAATGTAATATCTATTTTCAAAAAGAGGAGGATATTGGAGTCTTCAGTTTATGGGCAGGTGACTATGAATCATAGGACCTCATAGATTTACAATTTGAAGGGACCTCAGAGATCATCTGTTTTAACCCTCTCATTTTATAGATGAGGAAACTGAGGCTCAGATAAGTTAAATTGAATGACAGAGCCATGATTTGAACCCAGATCTTCTGACAATAAAGTGCTCATTCCTCTACATTACACTGCTTGAAGTGAGGACAAAAATCTAGAATTTGAAGCAGCTAGGCAGCACAATGGATAGAGTGCTTGGCCTGAAGTGAAGACCTGAGTTCAAAATCCAGCCTTAGATACTTGCTAGCTGTGTGACTCCAGACAAATTACCCTTTGCCTGCCCCAGGTTCCTCATCTGTAAAATGGAGGTGATAATAGCACATACCACCTAGGTTGTTGTGAGGATAAAATGAGATATTTGTAAAGCACTTAGCACAGTGTTTGGCATATAGTAGGTGCTAGTTGCTATTATTATTATTATGATGCAATTCATGACTTTAAAGGAGTTCTTTGTCAGCACTGAGAATGAGAGAACTCATGAATTATTTCTTCCAGACACAGTATCCAGTTATTCAGTTTAATTTCTCTAATAATTTATATACAAAAAGTGAAGTTAACAGATTTATTTGTTATAATATGTTTATCCTGCCTCTGACATTTGAGTAAGTCACTTAACTTCTACATTCCTTACGCAGTAATTGATCCATTGGTAGAGGGAATCATCATACCAAGAGTTTCTTATACTTCCTACATTTACACATTCACATGTTTGCGTATATGTTTTTATTTGAAAAGCACTTAACTATTTTGTATAGTTTATACCTGACTTTCTCAGTTCTCCATGCACAATCAATGAGTAAGCTTTAATTTAGCACCAACTATGTTCTAGGTGTTAGAAATATAAATACAAAAGTAAGAATGCCCCTGCCCTCAAGGAGCTTACATGTATATGCCCACATTGTCTAACAATCATGCTTTCATCCACACATTTAGGTACACAGCTTAAGCCACCTGCATGACCGTTGGCCGGTCACTTAACTCCTCTTGGCCACAATTAGCTTATCCATAAAATGAAAGAGTTGATAGTGTGAACCCCTCCCCAAACCATTTTGGGATTTCCCATCACCTGAGAAAGGCCTAAAACCTGGATTGGCCAATCAGGAGAAAGACATTTTTGGCCCGCTCTCAGCTTAGCCTACCATAATGCTTTGTGTGCTCTGGCATAACAGACATGCTTTGCTTTGCTCTCTGAGTGAACCCAAAATGCCTCTTCCTGTGTCAGCAACAACAAGGCGGGATGAAGCTGAACGGGGTCATTCTTCTGTTTATGACTGCTAAGGACAAGGCACCTTGAACCAGATACTATCTTGAATAATGGGACTTTTCTTGTGTTATATTGTGTCATATTAATGGTAAAAGAAACAGACTTCCTGATCTATAATTTCAGTTGACACCTTGACATTCTCTTATCTTACTGTATTTACAATCTATCCTGTTAAGAAATTCCTTTCTCATATTATGGTGAACACATACAGAGACTATAATTTTGGGTTGACACAGGCATCCTGAGTTGGGATTGCTCTAAGTGTATGAAGGGTCTCCTTCAGCTTGCTTACCTCTGAGTTCAGAATTATTTTCTGACTTCATCATGCATGCTTCTCTGTTTTAATGAGAGTAAATTAGCACATTATAGCACATGTACAGCCTGATTCTGTTTGTTCCTTGTTCAAACCTTTGGTAAGGTGAACCCTGTTGTGTTTGTTCTCGAACAAACCCTTGGTTAAAGGAGACCCCATTCTGTTTGTCTTAGGACAAACCTTCAGTTAAGGGAGAAACTGATTCTATTTGTTTCTTTGAACTAAACCTTTGGTAAATGGTTGATAGTAGATAATCCACTAATTTCCTTCCAGCTCCAATTCTATGATCCTATGATATTATGACCACTAACTACACCAACTAGGAAGAACATTATATTATGTTGCCTCTGGAAAAATCATGTTGATCAACTGCTTTGTTGTTCCATCCCAGACCAAAACACCCTTCCCTGGCTAGAGACAGTCTCACTTTTGTATCTGTGTCCCCAGTGCCTAGCACCCCAACCAGTCATTTATTCATTCATAATGGCAGGAACCCAAACTGAGGCAATACAGCTAGAAAGGAATTTAAAAGCCTTTCTAGGATTTGTCTTGAATCACAGCCTTTTTTTTTTTTTTTTGAAGCTCCATCTATTTTCAAAGAATGTAACAGTAAGGTTAGCATTGTAACATCTGAATGGGTGATTCTTGATTCCTTTATTGAATTTTGCTTTGCTTTATCTAAAACCAGTTTGGTTTTCATCTAGGAAGCAAGATGATTGGGCCCGACAGCAGGTCTGTAAGAACAAGAAGAATCCATTTTGGAGACACGCAGGCTATGTTTTTTCACAGCTTGATGGGTTGTATTTTGGAGCTGCAGAGAAGGCAAAATTAGCCCAGAAAAAGGTAAGAGCTCTAAGGAACTGTACTTAGAATCTGTTTTGCATGGAGCAGAGACCTACAGTATGGTTAAGCCACGTAAGACCATATTAGTATTCATTAAACCATGTAGTACTAGAGTTTTGAGCTTATTGTTGCAGATTCTCCTACAATATGTAAATCTCCCTCTCCTTACTCTCCAACCCACATGAGCTTTTTGTAGAACCTTAACTAACTAAGGATGAGTAGGTCTTTGGCCCAGGGCATCAAATTTAAATAGTTTGGGTAACACTTGAAGTCCTTTAACACCAAAGAAAAAAACAAAAAACAAAAACAAAACAAAACAAAAAAAAACCCACCAAAACAAACAAACAAACAGAGCTTAGCCCATAGTTAGCATGAATAATTAGGCAAAATAGGAAGCTTGGTGAGTTTGTACTACCGCCCCCCCTGCCACTCCCCACCCCACTATTTCTCTCTGCCTTCACACCATTCTCAGAATTTCCCTCATATTGACCACACATTGATGTCTCAAAGCCTCCATCTTCTTCTTCCCTCATATCCTTTACCCCTCACCAACTGAGTGTATATTCTGTCCCAAGCTACTAACACCTATGCCATTTTGGAAGTTGCATCAACTTTCTTAGGTTACTAGGTGACCATTTAGTACTTACAAAATAATTTATGGTGCTTTCACCATATGAAAGAATTACTGTAGCTTCCTAAAAGTGAAAGCCAAAATTTCAGTGTGGTATATGGCATCAACTCCTCCTTCTCCCCACCCCAACACCCCCAACTTTCTCCAGGCTTTGTCTTCCTAAACTGTAACTGACTTGCTTACTCTACCTACACTTACCCTGGCAGCTTGGGTGGTTCCCCAAGTGGGGTGGGAAGTGTAATCAAGGGGATATAACTCGTTTTCCAACAGGGTTACCTGGGGGCAATCCTTGTGATGGGAAGATATAAATCTACTTCTCAAAACTGAAGCTCCCATGTCCCCCTCCCCTCCCCCCACCGTCCCATGTGCTTCACATTTAAATAAAACAACCAAGATGATTCCATTAACTTTTTTTTCTGCCTTAACTCTTAGAATACAACATTTAGTACTAGAAAGCAAGGCAATAATAGTCATGAACCCCCTTCCTCCCCCATAAACCTAGATCACGTTCTTTACCCGGTGCATGTAGTATCTTTGGAAAGGAGTAAGGCATATGAATAGGCAGTCCCATGTATGTGCCTGGGGCAACTCATAACATAACTCATGTCCTACGTCTCTTTAGTGTTAACAGTCTGCAAAGTCTTCATCTTCTATGCCTCTCAGCTCTGCTGTTTCTCTGCTGTTCTGTATTGAAGAAGCATTTAGCTCTTTCAGCAAAACAGCACCCTTTAAGCATTGTCTGGGTTCTGAGGTCGTGTTATATGCTTTCAGTGAAAAACATTTTGCTTAAGTCAGAGTTTATGAAACTCTTCAGGTCTACTATCTGGGTTTTGAGAGGCTTCTATCTCCCAAGCCACAGAAGGCAGTAAAGAGCAATAGGTAAGGGATCTCTATCTCTCTCTCTCTCTCTCTCTCTCCCTCTCCCTCTCCCTCTGTCTCTGTCTCTGTCTCTCTCTCTCCCTCCCTCTCTCTCTCTCTCTCTCTCACCTTACCTCAGTCAGCTCTTCAAACAACAGAGAATTCTGCTTATCCCAGTCATCTCCCAGCATCAGAACCTCATTTAATTAGATCAACTCTCACTTCAGCAGCAGAGCCTGTCCATTTCTAGTTAGCTGCTCTCCTCCCTAAAAAAATCATGGCCTCCTCCTATGTTATCCACTTCTAACTTAGGTTGAGAAACCCCAAATCCACCTTCCTGTCAGATAAGACAAAAATAGTCAATATACAATTTTCCTATAATCCAATGATAAACTTTTAAGTCTTAAAAAAAAAAGCCATGAAAATTAGCTGCTGAGAAATAATGAACTGCTGTCATCAAGCAATACTTTTGTCTCAGTAAGGGGATGCTTTTAGGTCTTCACAGAACTGTCTGTTCTCCTAAAGTGTTTTTCTTTGTTTCTCACACGTACATGCTTTTTCTGCCTCCTTCATTAAAGGTATTCATCTGAGAAAGGGGTAGAATCTTATATAAGCATAAGAAAATGAACATTTTGATATATTGACATTTTGCAACAGTGATGTGATCAGGGAGTAGATGTGAGAGTTGTGGTAGGGTTGGAACCAAGAGGACTTGCCAACCATTTGGATATGGGAGGTAAGTAAAAGTGAAATGTCAAGGAAAACTATGAGGTTGTGAACCTGGGATACTGGAAGGATGGTGATACTCTCAACAGAAATATGGAAGTTAGGAAGCAGGGTGGGTTTGAGAGGAAAGACAATGAGTTTTGTTTTGAGTTTGAGGTACCTACAAGACATCCAATTCAAAATATTTGATAGGCAGTTGGTGATGCAGGATTGGGACGTGGGAGAAAGTAGTGTTAGAATATAATTCTGGGGCAGCTAGGTGGCGCAGTGGATAGAGCACCGGCCCTAAAGTCAGGAGAACCTGAGTTCAAATGCGGCCTTAGACCAAACACTTGACACTTATTAGCTGTGTGACCCTGGGCAAGTCACTTAACCCCAATTGCCAAAAAAAAAAAAAAAAAAAGAATATAGTTCTAAGAGTTTTTGAGGAGAGCTAATTGTTAAATCCACGGAAGCCAAGGAGACCACCAAGCAAGAGAGTGTAGAAGAAAAGACAAGAAGGCTTAGGACAGTAGCTGTAGGTGTACCTAGAGTTAGTGGGCAGACCATGGATGATGATATAACAAAGGAGATTGAGTAGTCAGACCTTAGCAGTCTTTGAGGTCTTCATTTTACCAATGAGGACACTGAGGCTCAGAGAGACGACACGAGCCATAAAAGGTCATCCAGGCAGTAAGTGGCAGAGCTGGCATTCAAATTTCGGGACTCCAATCCAAATCCAACCCTCTGTTTGCTCTGTTTTGAATTGCCTCTCAAAAGAACCAAGAGAGAACAGTGTTAGGAAAACCCAGAGAGGAAATTAGGTATCTAGGAGGGAAGGGTAGTCAGAGTGTCATTTGCTTCAAAGAGGTCCAGAAGAATAAGGACTGAGAAAAGGTCACTGGATTTGGTGATTAAGAGATCACTGACAACTTTACGGGGAGCAATCAAAGTCCAGTGAGTGAGGAGGTTGGAAGGCTGTTTACAAGGAGTTACAAAGTGAGAGAAGGGGAAGTAGAGACAATACCTGTACCCCTCTCCCCAGGACTTTGCTTGTGAATGGGAAGAGAGATACAGGATGATATCTTGAGGGGATGATGGGATCCATTTTGTTTTGGATGAGGAGTCGTCATGTTTGTAGATAACCTTACACTGTTGACTCATAAGTGAGCTTACAGTCTGCTCAAAGACAGCTAGGTGATAAAATGAATAGAGTGCTGAGCCTGGAGTCAAGAAGATCTATGTTCAAATCCAGCCTTGCATACTTACTAGCTGTGTGATCCTAGCAACCTTAAGTCTTAACCTGTTTGCCTCAGTTTCCTCAACTGTAAAATGGGGATGATAACAGCAACTACTTTGCAGTATTGTAGTGAGGATCAAATGAGATATTTGTAAAATACTTATCACAATGCCTACTGACATAAAAATACTTACTCTCTTTCCCTGTCTAAAACCCCTGATCTTTTTCAAATTAACTCCTCTTTCCATGTCCTCTCACCTTGTAGAGTTGATTTTTTTTTAACTCAGGTGTGTGACTTTACATTTACCCCTGTAAAATGATATCTTATTCAATTCTGCCCAATTTTTTTACCCTGTCAACACCCCTTTGAATTCTGATTTTGTTAACCAGTTTTGTGTTAGGTGCCAATCTAGTAAGCATTCCTTGAGTGCCTTTAACCAAGTAACTGATAAAAATATTAAATAGCACGGGGCCAACCACAGATCCCTGAGATGCTCCATGGGAAGACTCCTGCAAAATGGTTATTAAACCATTAATGACTTTTGGGAATCCAACCTTTCAATACATTCTGAAACCACCTAACTATATGGTCATATAGCTCTCTTAATTCATCTTTTCCACAAGAATAACATGAGATTTCATCAGATGCTATGCTAAAATGTCCCCATGCTCCTGGGGAGGCTGCGGCTAGTGGATTATTTGAACTCAAGAGTTCTGAGCTACAGCATGACAAGCCAATAGAGTGTCAGCATTGAGTCTGCCCCCAATATGGTGAGCCTCTAAGAGGTGGGCTATTGGGCTGCCTGAGAAGGGCTGAACTGGCTCATATCAGAAATGGAGCACATCAGAGCTCCCATGCCCGTCAGTAGTGGGAACGGCCATAGAACTTGAAGCCTTGGCAAGCTGGAGAGGCACAATTTTTAAAATAAAGTAAGATGAAATGAAATAAAATAAAATCAATCTAGGTAAGCTACATCTGCAACATTCCCCTAAGCACTGGTGTCAAACTCAAATAGAAATATCTGCAGGCCACAGATTGATTTAGAAAACCACAAATTAACATTATCCGTGTTGTAATATATTTTTATTTTGTTAAACATTTCCTAATTGCATTTTAATCTGGTTCTGGTGGTGTGTGGGAGTTTCATGACACCTCTGCCCTAGACTACCTAGTCAAAAAATGATATAGGGTTAGTTAGCCTGGCTTGACTAATAAATAATAGAACTAACGAGAGACAGAGTAGTGTAGTGGATAGAGCACCAATCTTGGACTCAGGAAGACCTGGGTTCAAGTCCTATATCTGATGGTAAATTACTTGTTTGTCAGTGGACAAGTTACTTAACCTCTGAACACCTCAGGCCACTCTCTAAGACTTTGAGTGTTAGAGATGAGTTGCCAAGCTATCTCAGAGATGAAATCACAGTTCTAAACAAACAAAAAACCTCCCAAAATGAATAAATACTTACTACACTAAACTGAGTAATTTGTTCCTGATAAACCCATGCTGGCTCTTTGTACTCACCTTTTCCTTCTTCTTTTCCTTTTTTGAGATGTTCACTGACCACCCCCATGTTATTAACATTCCTGAGCTTTGCTGGGAATTGAAGTCAAGCTTGGTGGCCAGCAGTCAGTAAACTACTTGGGGAAAACAGTTGCCCTTCTCTTGTCCTATGATATATCTCCCCATCTCCACTGTCTTCTAAAAATCACTGACAATAGCTCGGTAGTCACATTAGCCAGGGCTTTTAGTACCAGGACATATGGTTCATCTAGGCCAAATAACTAGAACTCATCCAGGAAGTTTGTCATTCTTTTTCCTGCCCTTTGAGTCAGTAAACCTCATTAGCCTCTCCTCTGTTGCTTTACTGTCAGCCAGGTACCTCCGTTACTTTAATATACCATCAGAAAGCATGGTGGTTAAGTCCCTTCTGTGCGGGACTGAACTCTTAAGTTCTAGGACTGATTCCACAAGATGTGTATGCCAGTCTCTGTTGACTTGATCATTACTCTTAGCCAAGGTAACTTAGTAAACCTGTGGCTAAAGGAAAAATTCTAGTTGAACAGAAAATAAATTACAATGACTACCTGGTTTCTAGAAATCAAAGCTAGTTAATCTTCATTCTTCCTTCCCAGCCCTTGACTCTTTTCCAGATCCAGTTCCTGAATGCGGTTGGAGATATACTGGACCTAATACAATCACTAATCCCTCCAGCCAATGTCTCACAGAATCATTCTGTCACAGATGATATGGGTCATTGTTCTGTTCTTATTAAGGTAAGATTCTCCAGTTGTCCCATTTTGTATGTGTACATGGATGCATGTATATAAAGATGGAGGGAGAGAAGCAGAGAGCTTTTCTCATTAATTAATATAATTATGTAAATATATGTTATGTATCAGTCTTCTCTAAAACATAATTCTGATACCTTATCAAGACATGGAGGTGACTCTGGATTGTTAAAGGCTTTCACAGTGAAGGGTCAGGTTCTACTGATGTGTTTTTAGGGATGCAGAGGCCCCAAAATTATTTAAGTACAGGGCAGAGTCATCTGGAAAGAATTCAAAGACTTAAGCAACATTCTAGTCAAGTGGCAAAAGTTTATTATAATGCCAATAAAGCAAGCAGAGCTCCTTAGGGAACTTGCAACCTAATGAGGGGGGATGCTAAAGCTTATATAGAAAAAGTACGGTGAATTGGTGTGCCAAGTATGCTATTAGGTGGTGCAGGGCGGAATCAAAGAGTGGTCAGCTCTTAAAGGAACATACAGTTTCTGTAGCATGGGCACGGACATCATTTACTACTGGAAACAGGGGTGAAAGGTGGGGGGAGGAACCTTCTAAGGGGTGTGTTTTTGGTCTGTTACATCTGTAACAAGATAACCTCAGGAGTTGACTTCTAAAGCTTGACCTCTGGATTGTTATATGGTAACTGTGGGAATCAGTACATGATAGTTTTGCTGGTACAAGGTAGTCGTGTAGGGACTACAGGGGACTACAAGGGAAATTCTACTGAGGTCAGCTTGTTCTTGTAACACAGAGAGATAGTTTGCCTCACTGGGGCCTGCTCATGAGTTATTGTCAGAGACAGGGTCTTTGGGCTGGGGAGAGATACGGTCCTAGAGTCGGGGTCTAAGAACCTCATCACTACCAAGCTGGAAAGACTTTATATACCCAGTCTGGGGATTAACTCTATGTATATAATCCAAGGACTAGCCTACTTAAGGCTGGAAAGGCTCATCACCAGAAGGTTAGCCACCAGATGATTTATTTTTCAACCACAGCAAATCTCAAAGGTGTGGAGAGGTTATAGCCAGTATTAGTGTTTTTAGACTAATGAAATGACTATTCCTGGAAGAAGTGAAATACACATTGTATTGTATTATAAATGTTTCCTATATGCCAGATAGCACTGACTAACCCCTCACATGCTTGAAATTCATATTTGTGGGATTTTCTTTAAAGTGGACCTCAGATGACTCAAACCTCATGGCTTCTGTATTGAATAGATGCTTCCACTGCTCTACTAAGAAGATCCATGCTATGTTTGACTAACCCCACACTAGGCACAAAATCTCAGACAAACTAGTCAATTTGCTTTGTGACTTCTCTGGTTTTCTGTTCCCAAGCTGCTGCTCTGCTTAATTAGAATGACTTCTCAACAACAACTCAGAGCTTGAAATGTAGATGATAAAAGTTGTGAAATCTGTCATTTCATATGTTCTCCCTCCCCTTCTCTTCCCTCCCTCTCTCCCTCCCTGCCTGTCTCTCTGTCTCTCACTCTCTCTCTTTTCCCCTCTCCTCTTACTCCCTCCCTTTTCCCTCCTCTCTTTCTCCTTCTGGATTCTCCCTCCTCTATTCTTTTCCTGAATTCAAACTTTGGGTCTGCTCTGTAATTTATGGTTATCTTGTAGTTAGTATCTAAAGTCTCATCTTCTATCTATAATTAGATAAATTAAATATGTCCTTAATCAATTTTGATATCCACATCTCCAGTATATTATAGCTTGGAATAACTGTCTCAGAACTCTAAGACAGAGCAACTCTAACAGAACTCTGAGTAGGTTCAACTCAGCAAAAAAACAAAAAAAACAAAAACTGCCCTGTATGAAAAAGCAATAGCTTAGGATCAGTACTTTACAAATATGAGATATTAAAAACATTCTTGGTACACACTCAGATCAGCATTGTGCAGTGGCAATAACACTGGACCTGTGTTTAGAATACTTAGATTCAAATCCCAACTTTACTAATTAGCTACCCATGTTACCTTTGGCTAGTGACTTAACTTTCTTGGCCTTTAGCTTTTGTCCTCTCTGTAATGAAGGAGGTCAGACAAAATGGTTCCCAGCTCTAACTCTATGACCCTATCATTCTACAGACTCAAGTCACTGGGAGGGAAGATTGGGGGCTTCAGTTCAGTCTCCCCCACCTTTCTTCAACCCCAAATAACTCTTGTCATTTATTGGCCAACAGTAGGTCCCAGGATAGGCCCTACTTGGTCATTGTTTGGGCCCTGATTGGCTCAGAGTGAATGTAAATAGCAATTGTTTCTGTTTTGGCCAGAAACTCTGAGGGTCTTCCCCCCTCCAGATTATTTTTTTTAATTAGTAAAGAGGCTATTTTCTGCCTTATTTCTTAATAAGCCTTAATCACTTAATAGACGTTGCCTCAGTCAAACTGAGATCTGTTAAAGACCTTAGCTTGAAAAGGCCAAGGTCTCCCACTGCATCCTGGGCCATCTCCAGTTGTCCTTATCTATATCTGGCCGCTGGACCCAGATGGTTCTGGAGGAGAAAGTGAGGCTGATGATTTTGCACAGATCTCCCTCACTTAAATCCAATTCACTTATATGTCATGGCATCACCTTCCTGATATCATGGTCTCCTTCCAGAACAAAGGACAAAGGATAACAACAACCTTGTGTCACAGCTTGAAAACTCAAAACAAGTCTTAGTCCTCATGGCTCCATTTTTCTCTCCACATTTGGAAGAGAAGTATGACCAAAAAAGGATGTATGCCAGTCAGGTAGCAAGAGCGAAGGAAACAGATATGTAACCTGAACGCTGCATTTCTATTCTTACAATATTAAAAGACCTAGAGGAAGGTCTCAAAAAAGTTGGATGGCTTCTTGGAAGGACATGGACAGGAGTCATACACAATAAGAAAGCATGAAGGAGTTGTGATGAGGTTACCAGTCCATCAAAGTCGGAAGTTAGGAGAGGTTTATCACCAGGTTGGTTGCAGGGTTTTGGCCACAGTGACTCTATGGGACAGTTAAGTAAGTCATATTGCAATCTGTATCAATGAAGGGAATCCACACTGATAGATAATTAAAGCATTGAAGAATGAATATATGTGCCTAATTCAATTCAACAAACATTTATTAAGCTCTTCTGAGAAGTGGGTCATAGTGGATGCTGCTGGATTTGGAATTAGGGGACCTATGTTTAAATGCCACCTTAGACACTAGCTGCAAGACCTTTGGCAAGTTATGTAACTTTTCTGAGCCTAATTTTCCTCACCTGTTAACTAATAATAACAACAACAACCTTTAAAGTTTGCAAAGAATATTTTGTGCATTATCTTATTTGAGCCTCACAATAACCCTATGTAATTAAATGCTATGGATATTCTTCATCTTATAGTCAAGGAGGCTGAGGTTCAGAGATTGTCGCAGCAAATAACGATCAGTCACCCAACTCAACCTCCTCTCTTCCTAATTCTAGGTTCAATGCCCTACCTGCTCCTCCACACTACCTCTCAGTGGATATGTAATAGTCAATTTCTGGGTTGATAATAATACTTGTATCTCTACCTCACAAGGTTGATGTAAAGAAAGTACTTTGTAAACTCTCAAAGCATGATAGGTGCTGGCATTGCTACTCTTATTATTTAAAATACATTTTATCAAGTTTCTCTGCACTTAGATCACTGTCCTTGGTAGTAACATAGAGCCAAGGTATCAATAGGACATAGATGTCTTCATGGAGGAGGGAGTTCTCTCTTTCATCTTTTCTGTACCACTTGGTATAGATCCCCTCCTTTGACTTTAGCATATTCTACCTTACATCCTACTTATTTCATAAGATCATAGATTTCGAGTTGAAAGTAACCTTTGAGGCTAACCCCTTTGTTTTACAAATGTGGAAATGAAAACCTGAAGAGGGTAAGTGACTTGTTCTATGTCCATCCCCTTAGATTATAAACTCCAACTGTCTGTTCCTAGCACCTAGCTCAATGGCATATAAATGCTTATTGAATTGACTTGGGACTCTGATCTACTATCTTGGAATTGACAATACCAAGCTTAGCATTCACCATAACTAAGCCTTGTCCTGACTCATCATGCTGCTGCCACCACTGCTGCTCTGCAGCCATGTTTATGCCATCTAGTAGCATGTTTCCCCTTCCCATCTCACCTTTAGCCCTGAGAATAGTAATCACATCTACACAGCCATCCTTGGAAAATATATGTCAATTGACTGCTTTATGATACCATTCCTGAGACATTCTTGACCATAACACTCCTCCTTGACCACCACTGACTGGTTTATGTTGTCGTCTCCATTAGAGTTTAAGCTTCTTGAGGGCAGAGACTATCTAGCTATATTTAAAGCACCTAGTAAGTGCTTTAAAATGCCTTTTTATTTATTCATTTATTTGAATAACTGAATTTATTGATTTATTGAATTCATTTATTCATAATAAACATAAAGTAATTATTAATAAATACATTGCAAAGGTTCAGCTGTAAGTACTATATCTAGGTGTAGTTCAACAAGGGAAAGATTATTACTAACAGAGTTTAGAGAAAATTTCTTGGAAGAAGAATATTTGAATTGAAACTTTAAAGTATGGATAGGAATTCAGAAGATGAAAGGAAGGAAATAAGGCATGAACCATATTCTAGGTATAAGCAGCACTGGGAGCAAAAACATTAGAGATAGAAAAACTGGGAGAGACAGGGATGTATGGACCATGATGAATAAATAACCCAGTTTGACCAGAGTATCAAATACCTGGAGAAGATTAGTATGGCATAAGAAAGGTGATCCCAGAGTATATAGAACTTTGAAGGTCAGGCAAAGGTATAGAAACTTTATTCACTAGCCAAGAAGAAACAGAAGAGTTTGAAGCAGAGAAATGACATGACATTTTCTCCTTCCACTCCCCATAGACTGATAGTGCCCTTTCTGGACCTTTAATATTATTGGATGCCATTTTGTAGGTACTAGACTGCAGGCCTTGGACAAATTACTTTACCTTACTGACTTTAATTTTCTTCATCTGAAAATGGGGATTAAGTAACTTAATCCACAAGATTAAGATTTTTTTTTGAAGAGTAGATGAGATAATATATGTAATGTATTTTGTAACCATAGCGCTTCCTATTAGTGAACTGCTATTGACCTACATCTTGCCTTTACTTTTTTCTTCAGGGAAAAAAGGAAAGAATGAATATCCACTCATGCATTAATTTTTAATTTCCCACCATGCTTCTTTTGATCAAACTGAATTATTAGTTTTGGGCCTCCTAAGCAAACCATAGTCTTAGTGCAGTATGGAGCTCAAAACTGCACTAAGATTTTTGGGCCACCCTGTATTAACAAATGTCACAAATGGTGACTGTTACTTAGTCTCTCAGGGAAAATAAGAAATAATGTCAAGAAAATAACACATTGATGTGTATGTTCTTCTGTTTTTCTGTCTCCACATAAAACCTGCAACCATCCTTTGTTGAAAAAAATCTGATTCATTCTCTATAGTCTTCTGTTTGATTTGCTGTGCTTTTGGCCACACAGGTTCTTCCTGGGTTCGAGAACATTTTTTTTGCTCACTCAAGCTGGTTCGTGTATGCATCTACACTGAGGATATACAAACACTGGGACTTCTTCATCAAAGATCCAATGACTAAAAGTTCTCGTCATTCATTCAGCAGTTATCCAGGTAACAAGATTTAATCAGCTTTACTGATCCAAAATTATTGGAGAGAAGAAAAGAGAGCAAGATCTGTCTAAAATTAGTGAAAAGTTAGAATTACAGATTTTTTCTTAAAAGAAGAAATACTATCTTAGTCCTTTTGAGTAATATAGAAATTCTAACTATATTAACAGTGCTCCTAAAAGGTCATCCATATATTTAGATTAATGCTTCTAAATGCATGAAAACTGGTTGTTCTCCTGGTTGCAAATGTCAGTTATAGTAATTTGGTTCAGTAATCATTTATTGCAGTGAGAGTGCAAAAACACTGAAAAGCTTTTAAAAATATTATGAATCTACTTTCCTGGCTTAGTAAATATGAAATAGGGAATATCCTTCATGGTTCAGAATCATATAGTACCTCAGTCTAAACCGTCATAATTATTATACAGGATTATAGACACAGAAGAAAAAAGAAACCACTAATCAAAGGGTTCGAGTCAATTATATTTGACGAAATTGAAATAAGCCTGTATGAGTAATCATAATTAGTAATGAGTAATCCAATTAGTGTCCTCTGAGGCAGTACAATGGGATGGGAGCAGCGATGCACTGAAATTAGGAGGGCAAGGCTCCAAGTCTGACTCTGCCCCTTAGGAACCATGTGAACCTCTTGGAATTCTCATCTTGGTAAGGGTTGAATGGGGACAATCTCACTTGTGATATAGTTGTCCAATGAAGTATAAACACCACCCCCATTCCTCAACATGAGTTAACTGGGCTTGCATTTGCCTTGACAGCTTGCCTATATTAGATCTAGGACTAGGTATAAATTATGACCTCAGCTTATATGTTCTCCTTCTTATGATGAAATTGTATTTGCCTAAGTATATAATTATGCTTTGTCTCTCTTACTTGTGGAAAATCCAGTGTCTACTCCTTCCCTCCATCTCTCAACCTGGATTCAGGCTGAAGCAGGAATAATGGGGAGATGGAAATAAGTATTTATACAGTGTCTACTCTGTGCTAGGCACTGTGCTAAGTGCTTTTTACAAATATTATTTTATTTGATCCTCATGACAACCCTGTGAAGTAGGTGTTATTGTTATCACCCTCATTTTACAGATGGGAAAACTGAGGCACGCAGCATTTAATGACTTGCCCAGGGTCGCAGAGCTAGTAAGTGTCTCAGGCCAGATTCAAACTGAGGTCTTCCTGAGTCCAGGCCTAGCATTTTATCTACCGTGTCACCAAGCTGTTTCAACCCTTTCTTCAGAGGCACCAAATCTCCTTTCCAATTCTACCCAACATGTAATTAATGGCCATTAATTACACCAAGTAAGGATCTGTTAACCACCTGATATTCTTTACATAAAGTGTGGAAACAGATTCATCATTCATGAAAATAATGTGAGCAAATGACCACACGGAAACTGCTACCTGAGCTATCTGCAATGGGAACCTTTCTGAAAGTCTGCTTTCATCCCCTAACCTTTGGACCTCTCTCAGAGGAAAGAGGGCCCGGGAGGAAATTGTCCACCAACTTAACCGAGAGATAGGCTTGCACCCTCTTTACCAGGCAGTAGGGGAAGTAGGAGGACACAAAGCTCTGTCTAGTTGCTCCACAATATCACCTATTTACCCCATCAGTTCTCACCCGGGGTAAAGGGTCACTTTTCAGCTACTAATCCTCATCATAAAGAGCAAGGCCTCAGAGTCAAGGAAGAAGGGAGCAGAGGAGCAGGCATCTGGAAATCAGCTTCGCCACTCACTCTTCCTCCTGTAAGACATGAACAAGATAGATGATCTTTTGGTTTCCTCTTCATAGAATCCTCCAAAGGCCAGTTCAAAAAGACTTTGCCAAACTGGTGAATTCTAGAAAAGTCATTTTCCACGTCTGATGCCTCCATGGTAATGCTCACAACACAGGCTTAACATCTTTATATGGAGGGAACAGGACTAGATGTTGTAATAAGAACCTTTCTAGCTGATTCTCTGAATTAATATTTTTACTATATAGAAAAATATTTTTCAAAGTCTGCCACGTGAGGGAGGAATCTAACTTTTAAAAACAGAGATACTCATTTTGCATTTGCATCAATCATATTTGTCCAAAAAAACATTTTCCAAAGATGATATAATTTGAAATTGTTAATATTTGAAAGGGAAAAGTGTTGTATATTGAATTCAGATGAAGACTGGCAGTAATAGTTACAAAATGAAAACTCAAAGAATCCATCCATCAATCAGCAAACATTTATTAAGCATCTGCTATGTATCAGACAATGCAGTAGGCCCTGGGAATTCATTGTTGTTGAGTCGTTTCAGTTGTGTTCCAATTCTCCATGACCTCATTTGGAGTTTTCTTTGCAGAGATACCAACGTGGTTTGCTATTTCCTTCTCCAGCTCATGTTACAGATGAGAAACTGAGGCAAACAGGGTTAGATGATTTGCTCAGGGTCACACAGCTAGTAAGTGTCTGAAGCCAGATTTGAACTCAGGTCTTCCTGACTCCAGGGCTGGTGCTGTATCCACTGCATCACCTACTTACCCCTTAGGCTCTAGGGATACAAGGAAAAAAAGGAAATAGTCTCTGACCCCAGAGAACTTACATTCTATTGAAAGAAGACTTTCAATTTCAGTGCTGGGTTTGTTTGTTTTTAAGCTTAAGGTAATTATTGTGTTCTTGTGGAAATTTTCAAGCTTCACAAGTCCTAATCTATGTATTTTTGTATATTTCTCACAATCCTTACATTTTCCAACCTTTGCATTGAAATCAATGAATATCATAGTGTATACTGATTTAATTTAGAAGGTCTTATTTAGTTCTTATGTTTGCCATTATTTTGTAATTAAGCTGCAATTATTTTCATGTTTACCTTTTTGCAAATTATTTATTTGCCAGAACTATAATATGAAATGACCAGATAGCCCATAAAGTGATGCTTCTTATTGTGTTTGGACATTCACTAAAATAACTCTGCTGCCTCTTGTGTTCGCCTTCCCAAGAAGTATTCACCATTCATCCTTCCCTGTAATTACCTCCTTCTTTCTTCTGGTTTTGCTTATAGCAAGAATATCAAGCTTGATATGATTCACTTCCTCCAGCAAGGATCAGGCCATTTTACAAAGAACTCACATTTGGAATATCAAAATTCAAGTTAAAGTTTGTGGATGCTTAAAAACTGTTATTCTTAGCACCGTCTCTTCATATAACACCATCCCTGTAGAAGCAGAAGGGGGCCACCCAGAGCTGAGGGCCATTTTGTATTTTTCTTTGTTTCATGGGTTGCGATGCCCAAAAGATGTCATCACCATCACCTACTGGTGACAAATCAGCCTGTGTTGGAAAGCAGACTCGGAACATTCCCTAGGCCATATTCAAAGCCTTTCTAACATGGTAGAACCTGTGAGTGCTTATGCTTCACTTTGCATAGCCTTCAAGAAACATGGGTCACTGTGCCATGATGTGACATCAGAGTAAGACTTTGTGGAAGCCAAAGATTTATAGACTTCACATTGTATCAAGAACAGTTCATTTGGAAGAAAGAATTGGTATGCACTGGCCATAATAAGCACCAAAAAAGCATCATAAGAAATGAAATAGACTTTCAATAGTTAAGAAAATGCTTTTTATTGAAATAGGAGTTATCTAAGGATGTGTTGGAGCCAGCTTGAACTAACTAGTGACAGCTGACTATGAAATTTTCATTGTGAGCATTTGTACCTCAAAATCAGCAAATGCTACAATTCAGGGTTTGATTTATTATTTTGTTAATTTCCTAGACTTAAGAAAGTGATAGAGAAACTGTTAAAATGAAGATTAAGCTTAAAACTGTCTAAAGCAGACATTTCCTTTTTTCTGGAGAGCCAATTATCAAACATTTACCAGCACAGCCCTGGAGTTATCCCTGAATCAGCTGTTTGTGTAGAGTTAGACCACCAACTTGTTGGGGCAAAGATCAGAATTAATCAAAAGCAAGAAAAATAATGAGAAAAATACATAGTGAACAATCGAAACAACACAATCCAGAAATATTTATACAAGTACTCAGCAATGGAAAATGGACACCAGAAATAATATTGACATCAATTACAATAATGCAGTTTAACTGCATAAATAATATTGTCACAGTAGAAGACTAAACAATTCCAAAAGGCACCATAGTGAGCCAAACAAGCATTTATTATGTGCCTACTATATGCTAGGCACTATGCTAAGTGCTTGGCATACAAAGAAAGGTAAAAAAAAAAATGGCCTCTTTTCTCAAGGAACTCACAGTCTGATGGGGGAACCAACATGTAAACAACTTTGTATAACCAAAATATATACTGGATAAATTGGAAATAATCAACAGAAGGAAATCACTAGAATTAAGGGGGACTGAAAAAGACTTGTTGGGGGCAGGTAGGTGGTGCAGTGGATAGAGCACTGGCCCTGAAGTCAGGAGGACCGGAGTTCAAATCCAGTCTCAGACCAAACACTTGACACTTACTAGTTGTGTAACCCTTGGCAAGTCACTTAACCCCAATTGCCTAAAAAAAAAAAAAAAGAAAGAACGAAAGAAAGAAAGAAAAAAAGAAAAACACTTCTTGTAGAAGATGGGATTTTAACTGAGACTTAAAGGAAGCCAGGGAAACAGCCAGTGAAAATGCCCAAGTTCAGGAAATGGAGTGTCTGTGAGGAATAGCAAGGAGACAGATCACACTGGATCACAGAGTAAGCACATGGTGGAGAGAAGGTGTAAGATAACTGGAAAGGTGAGAAGGGGCCAACTTACAAAGGGCATTAGAGGACAAAGAGAGGATTTTATATTTGATTCTGGAGGTAATAGGGAGCCACAGGGGTTTACTGAATAATGAGGTGACATGGTACCATGACCAGTTTGACAGCTGAGTAGAAAATGGTCTGGAAGGGAAGAGACGGCAGGCCAGCCAACCAGAAGGCTATTATAATCATGAGGTGATGAGAGCCTGGGCCGGGGTGGTAGTTGTGTCAAAGGACAGAAGGGGACGTATAATGAGA